TAACGCCCATGCCCGTTATTTCGCGAAAATACGGTATAATCTAAGCACAGAAGTCATTTCCTTGATCTATATTTGTTTTTACAGGTTGTCACTGTTCATCCATTTGAGACTGAAGAAGAGGCTATTAATTTGGCTAATGATAGTCCATATGGGTTAAGTTGTTCAGTTTGGTCACAAAACGGTAGTCGCATGCGTCGTGTCGCAGAGGCAATTCAAGTTGGCACTGTATGGGTTAATTGTTGGTTAATTAGAGATTTAAGCATGCCTTTCGGAGGAGCAAAGAAAAGTGGTAAGTTTCATGAAATTTATTCTCAGTTTTATATTATTCCTAATTGTCCTATTCTGTTTAATTGTGATGTGCTTAGGAATCGGAAGAGAAGGTGGAGAATATAGTATGGAGTTTTATACTGATCAAAAGACAATTTGCTTGGCTGAATCAAATCTATAAACTTTGTATGTTTACATGATTATTTTTTTATTTTTTTTCTGTTGTCGCGGCTGAAGCTAAGATTGGCTGATGCTGAGAATTGATACTTTTTTGATATAAAATTTTAAAAATTTTTGGGTGCATTTTTTGGTTGTTTTAAAATTAGGTTAGGATTTATGGTATTAATAAAAGAGTATATGTAGATTTAGTAAGTTTAGCAGACTCAAATTAAGACCCCAAATCTTTTTTTTTTTTTTTTAATCTTCAAAGGTGAGGCCATGCCTCTATCTTTATTAAAGACCCCAAATCTTAGCATTAGCCAATCTCAACATTAGCTACAAAATTTATATCTATACTGGGGATAACATATTATTGTAAACATTTTTTAAAAATTTATATTGAGTTAAATAAATATTAAGCTAAAAATTATATAAAGAATTGTTTAAATTTAAAATTTTTAAATAAAAAAATTTGTAAAATTTTATATACTAGTATTGTAGTAATTTTTGAAATAATTAGTTATACAAGTACAAAAATTAAAATATTAATTTTTATAGTAAAATTCATTTTTTATTAAGTAAATAAAGTTGTTTAGCATAAATCGGTCAAAACCAGAATCAACAATTATCTTCAAATCTAGTATAAGAAACAAGATATCTTGTACTAAGAGAAAAGGAAAAGCACTTAAAATAACCTATAGTTTATTAAGATAGGCTTATACTCAAAACCTTTAGTTTAATAACAACAAATTTTTTAGAAATTTTTAGAAAATTTTTGAAAAATTTTGGGAAATTTGTCTAGACTCTAAAAATTTGATTTTAAAATGTGTAAATAACAACAAAACAACAAACATGTAAGATCGAAAAATAAACAAACAAATAAACAGCAGATCATGTTACTATTTTTAGAATTAATGAAAAAACAACAAGTAAACAAACAATACATATGTTATTATCAAGAGCTAAAAGATTTTTCTAGAAAACACACTAGAATTTAATACAACAAATATAGATCAAGGAAATGACTTCTGTGCTTAGATTATACCGTATTTTCGCGAAATAACGGGCATGGGCGTTA